CCCCTTCCCACAGATCTCGCCCAGAATTCAAAACACCGCGATATCACAATGCTCGCTACACTTCACTTACACTAACGTTAAGCTGTTCACGTTTGAATATGAAGATGTAGACAGGTGTGTCTTAGCATAAGGCGATGGCACACGCAACTGCCGAAATCTTGAAAGAAAACGGTAACCGTGTCGCATGAAACATGCATGGGATCAAAACCAGTCATGCTCAGTTATCTCGTCGACCGACGAACCCCGTCCAGCGCTTGATAGCCTACTGGCGACACGGATGCTGTGTATGCTTCCTCAGATTACAAACTGATAAGCATGCGATCATCTCAGATGAAAACATGTCGTTAACAACTGATCGAAAAGAAAATGGTAACGTCAACTCAAAATGATTAAGACGCAAAATATGAAGGAATACCACATCAGAGGATTGAAGACACGAGTAAAGGGGGTCACTGGAGAACGGAGGGTGTAGCCTAATCAGAAAAAATGGACAACAAATATCTGCTTGCATTTGCACTATAAACGCATTAAACACATACAAAAATAAGTACTTTCCCATCAGAATGACTTTCACAGTTGTCATATTTTCCCTATATATCTGTAATCGCTATCATTGTTATAATATAAATTAGTATATATATAATTCAATATTAAAATCTGACAATATAACGATATTTATAATTATTATTATTAATAATGTTAAAATTATTGACACCTGTGGACATAATAGTAACACATGAACTATTACAGTTGGGAAAAGCTAATATTTGATGGTCTTCTAAAGTGGCCAGACTAAAACTTTACCCGTGTCGAAATGTACGAAACATTCCGATCTGGAACAGTGTGAAACTGTAAGTTCCCTACAGTAATAAATAATAATTTTCGACACTGTGCTTGAGTTATCCCTGCGCTTTTCTTCCAAACACACACACACACAAATAACTGCAGGTTAGGCTATTTCTATGCAATTCTCCTACTTGAACACGGGACCAAAAATTTGTTTCCTTTTGTCTTTCGTCCACATATTTTTATTCTTACGCTTTCTAATGTTATAAACGCATTTAGGCTAATATAACAACACGTGCATAGTAAGTGAAACAAATGAAGCGCGACGGCGCATCGGTACTTAACTATTTACACAGGTGCTGGAGACACAGGTCGAGGCATTCCCCTTCCACCTCGTCCTCCGAGATGAGGTCCGACAAGGGGCGCATAGGTAGAGGTACGTCCTCTTGGAGAGGTGGCTTCATCTCACGCAAGAAGAGCTCCAAGAACCTCTTGAAGGTTTTCTCCTCGTTGGCAGAACCGGCCATTGCTTCTCATTCCTGGAGAGACCAGAGACAGCTGGAGCCGGGCAAGAAGTCTACACTACTTTGAATCATAGGCTGGAGCGACTCTGTAGTCGCGCGAGTTGGGGAGGGCCCGCGGCGCGCGCGTGAAAAGAGAGGCGAGTCGCACAACAGACCGACGAGACGTCACAAGGGGCGGGGTATGATGGAGAGGGGAGAGGGGTAACTTTTTCATTAACCCATTTAATTCCATATTTATGATGAAAATGTACTTTTACATCAAAGGGTCAAAATTGTTTAAACATTTTACATGGAACGTTTTATTTACGTGGCGTAAATAGTGACGTAACCCGAGCGGTTTCATTTCAGTTGGCCCCTCTGAAAGATGTGTCAAAGTGCCATAAAAGGAAGCATGTGAAACAGATACACTTATAATACACTTTAAAATATGATATGCACGAAATACACTTATAATAGCAGATACACTTATAATATTTGGTGCATATTTTGGTCCATATAATATTTTAAAGGTCTATTATTAATAGGCTATAATATTTAGATTGCTCAATATGTAAATCATGACATATGATATGAACATGTCGCATTTTTGACCAGTGGAAACACCAGAGCCTGTTTTCCACCAGTTACAAATATGACCAGAGATTAACAAACAAAACATACACTTCCCACATAACTGGGAAAATGTAGACATTAAGTGGGTTAAAAGGCAAGACAAACATATGTGATTTCATTATTTTCCATTGGAATGCTTTAAACCAAGTTTTTATATCTTAAATATTTGGCTAATTTAAATTAGTTGGTTTTAATACATTTGGGATTTTTAAAAACGTAGGCCTAATTAATTATAACATTAATAGTGCAAATAATAGATAGCCTATTCTATAGTACAACCTTTTTTTTATTTTTTATTTTTATTACAGGTGCTGTGTTCTGTAGGCCTACAAAAAAAAAAAGGAAATGTGCATTGAGGAAAACATAAAAACAGACATAAATAACAGACTTCTGGAGTGCCAAGGGTTTGCACGTGCCAGACTATATATAAAACACTGATAGTGTGAGAATATCAATTTTGTTATAAATAACTTTCCAGTAGACGCAAGTCCGTGATGCGTGCGCTAAGCCAACCTTTTTTAGCCACATCAGTTTCGTAGCTGCTTGAACGTATGACGTCGGTCTAGCACAAAAGCTTGTGACGTAATCAGCCTATGGTTCATGCTGATTGATTTAGGTTTTGTCTGCATCGTCCTCATTTAGCATTGGCATGCCTTCAACGTTATCTCGCAAATAAACACAGTTTAGACCGATTATAACCTATTTCCTGCCAAAGTTGAAATAAGTATCCGATTAATAGCATACTGGCCCCAATATAAATACATTTAAAACCGTCAACATGAGGGCTGTTTGCTAGCCCTCATAAATTGTATGCACATTAGGCTATTATTAAAATCGGATTAGGCTGAGACTGATTCAGACGCCGTGCGAAACAATTATTTAATCGTTTAATCGAAACGGCCGAGGCTTACTTCGACAGAGCTCTTAGAGAGAATGTTTATGAGTGGGAAAACTCGATAAGTGATGCTCGATGTGCGTGTATATAGGACATCAGAGCTTAAGCTAAAAATAACAACTGTTGTAGATTTCACATCATCGCTGGGAATTAACTGTTCTGCTCCCAGGCATTGTTAGTTCAGCTGCAGGTTGCCTGATATTATTATTAACCTTGAAGGGATAGTTCACTTCAAAATGAAAACTCTGTCATCATATACTCACCCGCAAGTTGTTTCAAACCTGTATGAATTTCTTTCTTCTGCTGAACACAAAGGAAGATATTTTGAAGAATGTCAGTAACTAAACAGCTGACTTCCATAGTATTTTTTTCTCCTACTATGGAAGTCAATGGGTCCACTAGTTAACTGTTTGGTTACTGACATTCTTCAAAATATCTTCCTTTGTGTTCAGCAGAAGAAAGAAATTCATACAGGTTTGAAACAACTTGAGGGTGAGTTTATGATGACAGAATTTTCATTTTGAAGTGAACTATCCCTTTAACATTTAAATGAGGGGGAGGGGGGATCTAAAAGCTTTTTACGTGGTTTGAAAAATACCCTATATTTACTGTGGTTTTAAAGCATGCATTGTTAGTTCAACCGGGGGTTGCCAGATCATATTAAACGCAAAATTAACCCTTTCAAAAATGTACTAGTGTAAATATTTTCACTCAAAATATTATAAACAACTACAGCTATTACTGAGAAATTAAAATGACAGAAAATCCTGAAAGCATCTTAAACAGATTATTGGAATATCACATCCCATAATTAGAATATTCATTGTTATTTCATCTGTGGGTTGCCAGATACTATTATTAGCTCTTATAAGTTTAAAGAATATTCCATATTTACTATGGTTTTACTACTTGTATTGTTAGTTCAACTGACAACAGCTATCTAATCATAGTTTCTGGAAAAATATCACAGTTACCACAGCTATTGCTAGGTAACAAAAATGACAGAACACTTTTATATATTTTAATGACTGTAACTCACTATTTTCCAACTGTTACCATGGTGCATATTTGTAAAGGATGACAAAGTGTATCCTTGCCGGTATACAGCAATCTGAAATTGTTTTCATAGTCAAATAGTAACCAGGCTGTGATATTATAAGTCTTAAGGTAAAGGGATGTCTGTGTAACTGTCCTCCTAACCCTGGATGACCATTACACAGCAGTATAGGAATAATACCGAGTGTACCTTCCTCACCTGAGGTATAGTGTATGTTAGGACACAACTGAACAGTCACTCATCTTAAACCAGCCCTGACAAATGATGTAATCCTATTAGTCTAGCAGTCACAGGCAGTTCTTCATTCATGATCTAACCATGTGTCTAACATGGAGGTTAAAAACATCAAGAACAGAATGTCCTCTTCTGTCCACAAAATCAATTCTTCTGCCGGATGTCTAAACTATCCATTGCCAGCCAAGGAAATATGAGGTGAAGTGCTCATATTTTATCTTTGTACTGATGTAATGCTGGCTTCCCAGTGTATAATTCAATTAAAGTGATGAACCTCACATACACGCTGAGAATAAACTGAACCTGGATGATATACTGATATTGAACAGGAACAATCTGCAGCTAAATTATTACTGTTACTTGGAGGTGAATGTGAGCAGTAAACTCTTTATCTTCATATTGTCACTCATGCAACAAGCAAGACAGAAAGTCATCCTGATGCGACCTGTGCAACACAATATACACAACACCCTCTCACTGGGTTAATTAGAGCCAAATTATTCAATACACTGTTACTAATTTAGCATATTATGGCACAAAGTTTTGGCCCATGCAATTTAAGTGACATGATTAATGACTGGTGATTGTCAATTACTTTGACTAATCGCTAGCACTTGAAGCTGCAGAAAAACAATTTTGCATATATTATATACAGAAGATTAGCCAGGAAAAGTGGTGGGGAATATTAAATGGCAAGAATGGCTTTTAATATTTTGATATATATATAGCCTATAACCAGTTCCGTCATCCAATTTAAGTTTTGGTCACTTTGGAATAGCTTTGCATTTTCATTATTCACTCCTGAATTGTAACACGGTCTGATTGTCCAGTGGGAAATTGATATCGGTCATCCACTAATACCACAATAACACCAATAACTAAGGGCCAACAATCGATATTCTATACTTTATTATATTAATAATCCAAGAACTAATTGTTATTATTTGAGTTTTCATATAATATATAAATATATCTGTACATTCCTGACAGATCCTCAAGACAGATCCTCCATTCGAGGGCGTTTGCTGTAGTTTCCTGAAGGTGATGCATGCCTGGGTTCATCTGGGGCATCCCTGAAACCCTGGACCTGTGTGAGATCATATATATAAGTAAAAACTATGTCATACATTTTCGATATAAAGAGTATATATATAAGTATATAATATATTCCCCCCTGTTACTAATATTTCTGTTACTATTAAACTTACTGTAATCTGATACTGAATTGTGGCCTCCATTTGACTTGGGGATTTGTAGAGGGAGGCAAGCCTAAGCACAAAGTGGAAATGTGAAAAAAACATAAAATGACTTGTTATATCATTGCACAATCACATTCTCTTCCACTCTGACCTTGTCTGCTCAGTTTAAAAAGCAAGAGGGTCTGCCGCAATTCAAATGCAGGGAAGCTGAACTTTACAGCCAGAAGAAAGACCTTCAACTTTATAGAGAGAGACGAGAGAGCAAGATGGAGATGCTCTCTGTGCCTCTCAGCTTCCTGCTGTTACAATGTAATAGACTGGCAGTAATGCAGGATGCATTATGAATAAGGTCTGGCTACAAAAGGCAAAGCAAGCTACTTGTTCAAAGTGATTCATTCCATCACCCACGGAGGTGAAGGGTAAAGAGTTTATGCAACATACTCTCGCACTCTCTCTATCTCTCTCTCTCTCTCTCTCTCTCTCTCTCTCTCTCTCTCTCTCTCCAGAAGACACATTTGGCTGAGAACACCACAGATGTTGGCTGCTTTAAAAAAAAAATATATATATATATATATATATATTCTTATTCTATAGCAACATTTCGCTGTGTCAGGTTGAGTGGACTAAAAGACTAGGCTAAATCCAGTAAAAAAAAACGCCACAATAAACACCTTCCCACACAATTAGCAAATTAAAAAAGTCTGTTTACCTCCTCAGTCCCTCCCAATGCAGGATGAGCCTCTGTGTCGCGGCATGACCCCAACTCTCACCTAAAGTGTGAATTGTAATTGTTAGGACGGTGACTACTATGCAAAGCAAAACAATGCATGACTGCCCTCATATCTGTTATGTCTTACCTAATGCAGGAACCAGCTTGGATTGGCCATTTGAAACTCTTGTGGTCATCTGATTGGTCAAAATAACCTAAAAACACATGGTAACTGAATTAAAAAAATGAAATGTTTTTATTAAATTTGATGTGTATATATATATATATATATATAAGCCACAAAATTCAGCTTTGCGTCACAGAAATAAATGATATTTGAAAGTATATTAAAATAGAAAACCACTATTTTAAATTGTAATAATATTTCACAATATTACTGGTTTTTTCCTGTATTTATATAAATAAATGCAGCCTTGATGAGCATAAGAGACTTCTTTCAAAAACATTAAAAACAGTAATGTTTCCAAACTTTTGACCGGTACTAATATATATATAAATATATATATACTGTATATATAATTCAAATACTTTTTGTTAAATTAATTTTTTTTTTATTTCAATTTAACCAAATATGAGTATTCTGCAAAAAATTATTAATTAAATCCTAGATTTGTCTACTATTAGTTATTCTTTGTTTCAATTATGTGCTGAGGTGCTGAGTACCGCTAAACTGTGTTGTGTTGCTAGTTGGATGAGCTGCTGGGCAAGGCCGTTCAGGAGGCGGGTCCTCTGAGAAAGATCCTCAAAGTCATGGCGGAATGGGAAGGCAATGCTGTCAATCACTATTAACCGCACCTATGATTGAGCATGCAATTTATGAGCATCTAAACAGGAGTAATATCACTGTGCTGAAAGAGATATCAGTGGTGTAGATTATTCATATTTTACCTCAGGATGCTCAGACAGGAAGTCAGGTAGGAGGTAAACCTCAGCTAACAGCTCTACATAGTCATGGCAACGGACCAAGAAGAGGTTGGACAAGATCTTCTCGACTGTAAGTTCCTCTAAAGCTTGTTTCTGTTCTAAGAGGAAAAGCAAAGACAGAGGACAATTATACTTTTCGTGTCTCATTAATTCATGAAAATTCTCAATAATCTACAGATAAAGCTGATCAGTATTGGACCTGTAGAGTTAATTAAGTATTTTTTTCTGAATATACATACACATTTAGACATCCCAACTAAGCTCAGCTACTCAAATCAGACCTGTATCCTCTGCTAGGAGGGTGCAGTGCTGCACGGCTGCCTTCGCCATATCAGCAACCCTCTGCACCAAGAAACTGCCTTCTGTGTCTACATACAGTGCCTTTCCTCCCAGGCCTCCAAAACACACAGGAATCTGCACATCCACAGCCAGCTGCATGCTTTCAAATGAGAAAAACAGACCACTTTTGAAACTATAGTAAGCTACATTATCAACACAAATATTTACCAATTTTAAGATGAACTAACACATTTTGAAATCTGTTTCCTCCCATACCATAGCTGAGTTTTTCCGACACCAGGGGCTCCACAGATCTCTGTGGTCTTTCCCACAGGCACACCCCCTCCAAGGGCATTATCCAGGCCTGAGCAGAATGTTACAATGCTCCCCAGAGTTTGCTCCTGGTGCAGAAGATCCAGGGCTGTTAAGCTCTCTGTTGCCGCCCTCTGCTGGTGGGGATGAGCATCATCCCTCAACATCTGCAACACCTCCACCGCCTCCTCTTGTGATATACCTGCCTCTGTGAACGAAACAAGCATGGCTTTAACGAAAATACTTTTCTAGTAATCTGTAACTAGTGTGAGGCTATCTTCAAATTCAAAAGTTGGGTTTAGTTATATAAATACCTTTGCAGAGCTGAAGAGGACGCATGTCAATCAAGTCTGAGGCCACTTGGAAACCCGCATTGATGAGTTTTACCTTCACTGAGGGCGCCAGTGGGAGGCTGGGCACAGTCCTTTGCATTTTCAACACTAGCGCGTTGACTGATAAAAACCAGGCTGAAATGTCGTGTAGACTCGTAAGTCGTTAACGTTACTATGACAGTTTAGAACAGATGATAGCCTCAAATACGCAAGCTTTTAGTTTTAACCACGTAAAATCTAACTTACTCTGCAGGATTTACTATCGATAGAACATTTTCGCTAAATGAATATATATATATATATATATATATTTTCTTCCTTTTGATACTCCCTCCAAAACAAGAGACGACACTGAATGGAAAAAATGCTCTTCAAAATAAAAGTCCCAAGACGCCATTTACACATTTCTAGTACATGTTGAAATGCTGAATTACTCATGTAATTTCCGAAGTAATGAGAAGGATTTGCGTCTATTTTTTCATTGTATGGAAATATTTGGATTGACTAAATATAATTTTACAACTGAGTGGAAGGTCCAAGAAAAAGCATACAATTAAATGGTTTGGCTTTAAACATTTGGTTTATTTTATTTATTTTATATTTTATTTGATCATACCTCGGAACAGTACGACCGTAGAATGTAATAATATTATTAAAACAATAATCGATATGTATTAGCAGTAGTAGTAGTAGTTTTACCTGCCACCTTTTTTATTTGGACATTTTCTTACTTTATTGTTTGCATCATTTAACCACTTGATAAAACTTTGTTCACTATATATTGACTGAACATTTGTTTTGTCGTAAAAAAAACGAAGTAGCAAATACAACATCAACACTGATTTAGAAATTAGCTAAAGATTTTTTTTTTTTTTGCCATTAAATCTTGCAAGCACGATAATGTCAGTCCAGTTCTTACTACTGAACCTGTCATTTTCATAGACTAAATAAATGAATAAATAAATAATAAATAAATAAAGAAATGGACACAGCGAGCCCATAGACCTCAACCGGTCATTTCAGCTAGAAACGTTCGTGAAACGCTAAAACTAAAATGTCCCTTATCCCGCCCTGTACGTATTTGACGTATGTTTACAAAACAAGAGTACCCTGTCGCAAGAAAAATAATGCGCATCGACATTTCGTACTTCAGGTAAACATGTTCTGTGAACGGCCTTTTGAGTCTTAAATTACATTTGATTTCCATAATTATATTGTTATGTCCATATTTTATTATAACTTCGAATCTTAGGCTGTGTCACTCAGTCTAAAGTGGCGCTTTTTTAGAAGCAGAACATCTGAATGTGTACAGCTCCGTGTCTATTTGTATTTGACACATTTGAGCTCAAATCAACAGATCGAATGAAAGTCCTTTTGTTTTAATAACTGTAGAACCGTATTATAGAGCAGCATGAACTGTCGATCAGAGGTCCTGGAGGTGTCAGTGGAGGGTAGGCAGGTGGATGAGGCCATGCTAGCCCTCCTGCACACGATCCTCCTGCACCGCAGCACAGGGAAATTTCACTATAAGAAAGAGGGCACGTACTCCATCGGCACCGTGGGAACTCAAGACATGGACTGCGACTTCATCGACTTCACATTCGTGCGAGTGTCTTCTGATGAGCTGGACAGGGTCATCAGGAAAGCGGTAGCAGAATTTAAGGTATTTTTGATCACAGTACTTAAAGGGATGGTTCACCCAAAAAATTCTGTCATCATTTACTTACCCTCAAGTTGTTCCAAGTCATACAGAATGTCTTTCTTCTGCTGAACACAAAAGAAGATATTTTGAAGAATATGGGTAACAAACCAGTTCATGGGCCCCATTGACTTCCATAGTGTGAAAAGAAAAGTGGGGCTAATCAACTGTTTTGTTATCAACATTCATCAAAATATTTTTTTTTGTGTTCAGCAGAAGTATGTCACTCGAGGGTGAGTAAATTATGACAGAATTTTAATTTTTGGCAAATTATCCGTTTAATGATTTTTACTATCTTTATTGGACATTATACTTTATTTGAAAATTTTAAAATGGTAAACCATGTTTGGACATGCATTATTCAGTAACTTTGAGTACCATGGTATTATCCTACTTTATAATGGTACCACCACCATGTAACACCTCACTTTTTTTGCAAAGAGATGTGTAAAAAATATTTATCAAATTCTGTACATACCTTTCCGTTATTGGCAAAAACAAAACATGTCATTGAAATGTTATTTTTCTCACCCACTAAAAGCTAAATACAAATAAAGCATTATAATAGGTTAAATAATAATACAATTATTCATACAAATTCCTATACCAAAATTAGCAACAATCTTACTGTTGCGAAATTGCACTTTTTATAACCCAGGATGCTCTTGGCAATTCCGGAAGTGATGGCATGGGTCAGATCTCTGTGGAGTTCTACCAGAAGAAGAAGTCACGCTGGCCCTTTTCTGATGAATGCATCCCTTGGGAGGTCTGGAGCATCAAGGTGAACGTGGTGAACCTGGCCAACGAACAAGAGCGTCAGATCTGCAGAGAGAAAGTTGGCGAGAAGCTCGGCGAGAAAGTCATCAACATCGTAGAGGTGATTAACCGTCACGAGTATCTTCCCAAGATGCCCACACAGTCAGAGGTGGACAATGTGTTCGATACGAGTTTGAAAGACGTCCAGCCGTATCTGTACAAGATCACTTACCAGATCACTGATTCTTTGGGCACGTCAGTGAGCACTACCATGAGGAGGCTGATCAAAGACACGCTGGCATTGTAAAAATGTGACCATGAAGCTGCTGGAGCCTATTGGTCACTGGACATTTATGATGATCTTGTAAAAAAAAATATAAAATCACATTAGCGGGATTTAAAATAAATTCACTACACTTTTCCAGTATAATAACGGTATCCATTATCTTTCAGCTAATTCAAACAACCATCTAGTTCAGTTATTTTTTGTTGTTTTTGTTTTTAATAAATTTAATTATGCACCCTAAATTATATCATGTTGTTATTTTGAATTAGTTTGTCTGTGTTTTTTGTTACCCTGAAAAACACTAATTTAAGAACATGTGTGTTAGTGTTCTTAGAAAATGCAATGTGTGAGAATAATTGCAAACTGTTTTATAATCACCACAATTAAGCCACAAGGTGGTGTTTTTTCCCATGAATTCACTTCAGTTTAGATGGTCTTTTAAAGCCTGTTCATAATTTAAAAAAAAAAAAGAAAAAACATATGCATATTTCGTAAAAAAAAAAGTCTTTACCATTAATTCTTCACACATTTAAATATCATTTTGCACTTTAAAAAAAGTGAACAATGTACAAAAATATATATAGAAAAATAAATCCAATGACAAGACTTTCTGTAAATTTTTAAACTGACACAATGTCCATATTACGGTAGATGAAATAAACACAAGTTCAGTTACACAGTATTGATATTTATTTTATAAAGCAAGCACAGAAAACAGTAGAAAATGCTTTAACACAAAAACTGATACAGTTTTTAAAGCCACATTAGAACAATTCAAGTGCTTACAAATATTAATTATTGCAGTGATACCACAGGAATACCAAAAAAGATAATGGCTCGGTTTCACAAACAGGGCTTAGATTAAGCCAGGATTAGGTTCTAGATCAATTAGGGCATTTAAGTAGCTTTTATAAATGTGCCATAGAAAAAACATTAGTGGTGTGCATCTTGAGACAAAAATGGCACTGACATATTTTAAGATATGTCAGTGCAAGTTGCTTCAGTTAAAACAGCTCAAACGTGCAATTTAGTCTGGGACTAGCTTAAGCCTTGTCTGTGAAACCGGGGGATAATTTTCATGTACAAACAAAGACCATAAAAATGAGTTTGAGGATTAAACGTTCTGTTCTGTCATCACTATTCATTCAATGTCATACAATCTTTCAATGAACCACATTAAGAAATGTATCAATTACTGAGTGAAATGCTCGTTTTATCATCGGTCTGCTAATAATATGGTTTAACTCTTAACCCTAAACAAAAAGCTGGTGTTAGGTGTCATGTAATACTGGGGACAAAAGTAAATGCAAACTAAATCAGGTATTTCTATCCTGAGAAATAACCAACTTATTCATTAATCAATACCTTTTTTGGGGGATAAGATCAAAAGGAATGTATTACTGTTTTATCCATCAAAATGTAGAGTAAATGACAGTAGCTGAAGGAAAATGCAAAGAGCAAGCAACATATTTAGATTTTGTGCTTAAAGGCCACAAGCTTGCTAAGCCAAACATCCCCTAATGTAAGGGAAGAAGACTTCTTAATATTTAAAATACTTGCTAAATATAAGATTACGGCTTTTGTGCTTTAATATTTTAGAATAAAGATCTTCTCTGGGTCATACTGTCACAGAAAAGGGCCACTGAACATTAGGAATGTCCAACCATTCAACATCATTGCATCAAGACTTCATTAATCACTGAGTACTGAGTTCTGGTAAGTTGAGCTTCCACTATGGTAGAGCTCACAATGTACTGATACAGTACTGATACAGTGTGAATATCTACTTAAACTTCATCTCTACACATTTATGAGAAGTAATTCCCACATATACTGCATGTCCTGTACAACAAAAGTATTAGAAGATCCACATTGCAGGCACACACTAAAAAGCTTAAAGAACATCACTCCAAACCTGCTAATTGTACACATAAAGCCTTCTATTTGTTCAATACAACCACTGAATATTATCCACAACCTCTAAACAAAAATACCAGGAAAGCCTACAGAACTGGCAAAACACATGAACAAAAATACTCTTAAAATGAAAATTACAACTTAAGTAGCAATGTTGAAATTAAATTATAAACATGTTTTCTTCACCTCTGTCAATGTTCACAAAGTTTGATACATATACATTTCAGTCTGCTTAAGATTTTCTTTTTATATGGTGCTTAAATGATCAAAGCAACAATTCAATATAAAAGGGATAGTCCACACAAAAACGAAAAATGTGACAATATACTCACCCTTATGTTGTTCCAAACCTGTATGAGTTTCTTTCTTCTGTAGATGTCATGGCTTCAATATACTGTAGAAGTCAGTGGCTACCGTAAACTGTTTGATTACCAGCATATCATTTTTGGATGAACTACCCCTTTAATAGCTCTAACAACAGTGGCAGGGCTGAATTGTGTATGTAACAGAAAAATGGGGCAAAAATAAACTTAAAGCTATTGTTTTAGGGTAGAAAAGGGGAATTCATTTTTAGTTTTGGATGTGACGGATCTATCTTTTCTAACTAAAGAGCCATGTCTACACCAGCCTGTGCTTTTAATAGAGAACAATGTTTATTTGGAATAGCTTGAAAGTGCTAAATAACAGCATAAAGGCCACTAAAACAAGAGAGGTGTACATCTTCTGCGTAATAACCCAAAAAAAGTAATCACACTTTGCAATAATTCAAAGAAAGTAATTTAGAAGAGTTCTTAAGGTGAAAGAAGTCCGTTTCATTTAACAGTCTTTTTTGATCACTGAACAATAAACCTAAAACAAAAAAATAATACAGGGAAATGCTTTAGAAAACAAATTTGTTTTAAGAAACTCTTGGCATGCAATCCAAGATGCATTCTGAATACTGTTTATAGAAATAAGATATATTAAGTATGATTAAATGCTGTTAATAAATCCCTGGGTTTTGGCTGCAAGTGTGTCCCAAAGTAAATCATGTTTAAAAGAGAAACTGTCTCTGTGGAACTGTTGATTCCAATGGTTAAGGGCTACAAATGTGCAACTGCGTTTTGCACTCTTACGTATGGCTCTGCTCGTGACTCCACAGACTGAAAGCCGTCTTAAATGTCCGGTGACAGAATTTGCACATGTACTGCCGTTTAAAGGTGAGTGCAGAGAGGGTTGGTGCATGGTAAAAAAGCGTGTCGGATTCCTGCGGGGTGATAGTTTTGTCTGTACTGTTGGTCTTGGCGTGTAAATGTTCCCCAGGCTCATCGTCACTAGTCTTGTCCTGCTCTGGCTTCTTGGTTGACAGTGACATGGAGCCTCTGGGTTCCTCCTCTGAGGTGTCCACCCCAGAGCAGGTCGCTGTGAGTGGAGGTTTTTGAGAAGTTGGAGGCTCTGGGATGGAAATCGTAAGAGGTGGAGAAGGAGATGGAGAAGACGGAAGCCTGTCAATCTCTCTCATCCCTGGCTCTTCAGGTGTGGACATATGGGATTGGTAGTGGCTCCAGAGACGGAAGTTGGTCCTGAACGCTTTGTGACATATGTGGCAGATGAAGGGTTTGATATGGCAAAGCAGTTCCTGATGTCGTTCCAGGTCTTTGTGGGTGCTGAAAAGCTTTCCACACTTTTCACAAGGCCAAACGCCCGGTTCCTCGGATCCGGTGCTCACGTTATCCTTGGCTGATACTGCTTCCTCTTGAGGTTCCTCTTTGACCTGCAGCTCCCCTTGACCGTGAGCACTCAAGTCCTCTGGGACATAAGACGATGAGTCTTCAGAATCATACATGGGTGGAACAGATGAGTCGCTGTACACTGCTTCCTCTCTGGGGTCACGTATCAACTCCTGAGAAGAGGGAGGAACTCCGAACACATTGGATGATTCATCGTGATTGCTCTCCTGGAGACCGAGAGTCAACTGCTCCTTAACACTCATCATATTGTGATTGTGAACTTCCACCTGATGACGCCAAATGCTGAAAGAAGACTTAAAAGTGCGCATACATTCAAGGCAGGTCAGCTTTTTGTACTTGCAGTGAGCTTCATGGTCTTTCTTGACGACCGTGTTGGAGAATCGAAGTCCACAGTATGGGCAGACTGTAGCATACCTGCAAGCTCTCTCATGGTCTTCTAATTCAGGCAAAGAGGGCAGTTTCTCATTGCAGAGCCGGCAAGAAAATACGTCCTTATCTTGGTTTTCTTTAAGATGTGCCAACTGCTGCTGCTGCTTGTATTGAAGGTCTCTCTCAGCATCCGTGTCAAGGTTAGCCAGCTCAGCGGAGTGTCCCTTCATGTGTAGCTTTAAGTGTGACTGGAAAAAAAACATCTTGCCACAGTAGGGGCATCCGTATGACCTCGATCGCCTGCTTTTCCTGCCAAAGGGTTGTGACTGCAGGCCTTGCTTGGTTCTCCTGAGCTTCATAATCAAGGCCTTCTTTATCTCCCGCTCTCGGACGATATCGATTAGCTTCCTCTGAAACTTCTCATCCAGGACCGAATAGGAACTGGAGGAGGGTGCAGGATTTTGCACCACGCCATGCTGGGTTTGGCAGTGAGTCCAGACCTTGAAGTTTGTGTGAAAGCGTTTATGGCAGATGTCGCAAGCGTACGGCTTCTCTGGGTTGTGGTACATGTTCACATGGCGATAAAGACCCGCATTGGACCTGAAAACCTTCAGGCAGTTCCAGCACTTAAACATTTTGTTTGGGCGAAGTTCTCCAGGTTCCTCGTTACTAGTGTCCATGTTGGAATTGTAAGGTACCTCATCAAACGTGCTTTCCTGATGCAACAGATGATGCTCATTAACAGGCCTGGATCTCTTAAAGGGCATATAACTACCATCTATCTTACTCTTCCTCTTTATCGAGGGAGTAAAATACCCTCTGGGACCTTCATCATAGTTTGCCTGAAAGTCTTTGAAATTTATCGGCAGGTTGTCTCCAACAGTGATGCGAACAATTTCAGAAGGGTCGGCAAGGGGACTGCTGGGCTCTGTTTTGATTCTGAGTTGAGTTGTTTGAGTGCCGTCCATCTCATACGAATTTAGTTGTCTCGACCTGAAAAGAAGTGGCATATCTTTTGACACCCGGTCCTCATTTTCAGGGGATGGTGACCTAGCTGTTGTGGCCATTAACTTGACCACAGACTGTTCTCGACTTTGTGAATCCTTTAGCTCCAGAGCTGGAGAAAAAACGGGAACTGGACTATCCATAGACAATGATCTGCGTAGCAGACTTTTAATAAGTGGCCCACTTCGGTCAACAGTTTGGTTGCGTGGGCCATGTTGCTCACCCACTGGTCTGGAATCATGCGATGCATCCATTCTGCCATCGATGGTGGTGTCAGTTTGATCTGATTGTAGGCTAGCATGCTGTACAGACTCACTGAATGACACAGAGGATGTTAGTTGCGGCCTTGTAGATGGCGACCGGTATTCAGTTCGATGTCTCAGTATGGATGTTGGAGAGGAGATGATAGATCTGCAGTCTCCCTCAACTGTGTTTTTGTTTAAATTTCTGCTGTTGGAGGTACTGTTTGATTCTTTTTCATTTGGTCTGATGTGTCCTGAGGATTGGCTCTGATCACTGAAATTGTGTGTGAGCGAGGGTTGCTCTGTGACCTGCTTAAACGGTTTTCCCTGAAGACTCAAACTTTTCCTTGGAAACATTTCCATGTTAGGCTGCTCACCCTGACTTTGATGCACAATAACACTTCTCTTTTGTAAAGCGCCATCCTCCTCCTCCTCAGAGAGCAACATTTGTTTTCTCGACACACAGTATGACGCCTGAGGTCTTATAGACATAATGTTGGTTAGAAATGGAATGCCGAGGCTATAGCCCAGCTCCTGTATTGCTGCCAGACTGCATTTCTCCACAAACAGAGATGATGAGTAGATGTAGTTTAGCACAATCTCAAAAGCATCAGGCTCACAGAAGTCAAGTTGAACAATGGAGCGGTTCTCCGAGTCCCTTCTGGAAAACAGAGACTGGAAATACTCACTGCAGGCTGCAAGGATGCTTTTATGGGCCTGGTACTGTTGATCACCCACGAACAACACAACATCACAGAGCTGACCCATCAACCGCTGCTCATTGAGGGCACCCAGCAGTGAAATACCATGGGCAGGGTTACAGTAGTGCCCCAGGCTCTCCATTTTGGCTTTGAAGGAGAATAAAAGAAAAGACAAATTTAGTGACATTGCAAAATCGTTACAACAGTGACTTATAGTTACATCAAAATAATCTTGGTAACACTTTACAATAATGTCAATTAATTAACATTACTTAATGTACATATGTTCATTTATAAATACACTGTCCATTGTTCATTAATGTTCACGCTGGTAAGACTTTACAATAAAGGCTCATTAATATTCTTAATATTTAGGCTTCCAATATTGTCTTGAATAATAAAGCACCTTGGAGTTGAGTTTGAGAACCACTGCATTACAGTATACACTCCTGGGGAAAAAAAGAAAAGAAAAAAAAGGGCCAAGCCCAAAATGGTGAAACACGAAGCTTTTAATTGTCTTAACCACAAATTATTGTTCAGGGAATTAGCTAAATTTAAGTGCACTACTATTTTAATGCACTACTTAAAAAGCCATCAGACAGAATTTGGTTTTTGGAAGAATATGGGAAGTTTGATTCAGAGACTGTGGTTCAGCAGTTGTGTGGAATGATGAATCACAATGAAACACGAGTTGCATGCATGGTGATGCTCCAGAGCGGTGCCTTCAAAAATCTGCTGAGAAATATAATAATAAATGCATCTCTACCACAGTGAGGCATGGAGGAAGAGCTGTCATTGTGCAGAGCCTTTTTAGCTGCTGGGATTGGTGAGCTACTTCACTGTGAAAAGTAATTTAATGCTTTGTAATACAGGAGAATATTGCAGAGTGGCTTGCTTCCCAGAAATGAAAAGTTGTTATCTAAAGAGGAACGATCAGATGTTATTTCTCAACAAGACAATGCTCCTGCACAAATTGCAAAGACAACCAAGAAGTGGCTTGAGAACAAGTCCATCAGGCTCATGTTTTGGCCTGGTCAGAGTCCAGGTTTGAACCCTATATAGTGAATATTTGGTCTCATATTAAACTCAAACAAACTAGGAGAAATTTTTCCAACTACTCATGAACGGTTTAAAGCTATTAACATTGACTCGTCTTCCTGTAACAAGCTGTCTGCAAGTTGGGGAAAGGCTATTCCATCCTAAGTTACTTTATCTAGAGTGTTTCTGCAATTCTTGCTAATTTCCTGACCAGTGATTTGTGATTAAAATGGTTAAGACAATTAAAATACCAGTAATATTTTAGTTTAGCCCATTAGTAGTGGCCAAAAATGATGCTAGGAGGGGATATTTCTTTTAAATGTCCCTACACATTTCATTAAACAATCAAAAAAAAAGAAAAAAAAAAAGAGGAAAATATTTTGTATTTGAAAATAACACACACATATACATATATATATATATATATGCATATGTGTGTGTAACGGTTCACAAAATTCACGGTTCGGTTCGATACGATACACTTGTGTCACGGTTCGGTTCGGTACGTTTCCGATACAGCAAAAAGAAAGAAATGCCAGAGAAATTTCCTTGATTTAATTTTTTTAATTATATTTTTATTAAAACTAACATCATAAAGTATGATATTTTTTAACTTTAAGCAATGATGGAGCTATACTTGACTTTTCTTAGGACTAGGAGCTTATAAAACAAAACAGCTCCTTGGACAAAATGAAATGTAATATTGTAGTAGGCTAGTTATAAACAAAGGTTTATTTTAGTTCAGATTAACATTTGAGGGCAGCAATTGTATTCATGTCAAAATAAAACCGACGTGATGTTACTTGAAAGCATTAGCCTACTATTCCTGCCAAACTCCCATGGTTACAGTTAGTAGTTACTACAGTAAATCCATGGTAAATGTTGCTGATCTGTGGACACTGAATAGTTCATTCATGGCACAATGTTTCTTCCTGGTTTCCACGTCAGCCCTGTTTGATCCGTTAATAACGGAGAAATGTGAATGTGTCTCACTATATCTCTCAGCTACGTTATTACTTCAGTGGCGAATTCAAATGTTTTCTTTACTGGATTTCGCTGTGTAGTAACAGTGCTGATGATCAAGATCGGCTCGCGCTGCTTTGGTCCTCCCTCCAAACTGATAAACGGTCCGTCAACCACACATTAACGAGTAGCTCAGTTTCGTTCCGCTTACATTGTGTCCCGGATTTTTATATATATTTTTGTATATATAAGGCACTTAAATGCTAATTTGTAAAGACTTATGGGAACAGACTGTATTACTTAGTTTGGTTCTAAGCAGTGATTAAGTTGGGATTTATTATGTGGGCTCTCCCTAGGGGGGTCCGGGGGTATGCTCCCCCGGGAATTTTTTTTTAAAAATAAACCATTAAATGGCACTTTCTGGAGAGTTTCGTGCAAAGAAATTGAGAAAATGAGTCTTACATGATATGTGAAAAACTGCAAGGTTAAGAGCATATACTTTGCATTGTTGTAGTATCAACAGGTATTAGGACATTTAGCATTTACATTACTGTTAATCAGTCATGTACTGATTAACTAAAATTAAAAACTCAAATAAATGGTTGATTTAATTTCCATTAACCACCTAGCTTACCCCCCAAGGATAGATTGAAAAATAAAATCAATCTATCCTAGTGGAAAGGTTCCTTGGTAGCTAAAAGTAGGTCTAGCAAGTCTTATATTTCTGTAATTCACACAGATCAAACACAAATATGCTGCCTGAATAGATTGCTAGTTTATTTTGAGTAGCCAGCTAGCAGTTCTCTTGGCAGTTTGCTAATAATCCGGTGTCTGAAGTAAAATGCTCAAAACATCTCCTGAGAAAAATCACATGGCCAACCTAGTCTTGGTTATTTAATTTAGATTTAGTCTTATTTTCCTTACCTTGTCATTCAAGGCCAGGGCACTTTATGTACATTTCTAGAACTTTTGCACGCTTCCACATCCCGCGCAACTAGGATCTCCCAGGAACACGCATTATATATCGCTGCGTACATTTATCCGTGTCACCTAGATGCGCATGCGCGAGCGGTGCGCGATCATGGTCGACTGACAACGAGATTAGCAGCTGAAGAATACGGCCGAATTATGTATTTAAAAGTTGCCGAATGGATTCATTTGGAGACTGTGAAATCGGCAGAGATAGGCAGGCAGTGCAAAACAAAATCTTACATTGGGAAATAGTGGGGGGGACAAAACTTAGATTTTGAAGGACATGTCCCCCCCACGTATAATGGCTCCTACGCCCCTGATATATATATAACTATATATATAATATATGAGGGAAGAACAAAACACTAAACTTGGTTAAGGTATTTAAATGAGCCTATTTGGCAAAAAAAATGCAAACTACAGCTACAGGCTCTAGCTTATTTGAATATGCTAAATAAAGAATGTATAGAAAACCAAAAAGGTCATAGAAAAAAACATACATTGACTACTACAACATAATCAGTTATTAATATTTCATTGGTTCTCTCTTGTTTTTGCATGTGTTCATAATTTCTTTGTTTGACAGCCTGGGCCAAAATCAGGGGCGGCGCCAGATAATTTTTAACGCAGGTGCTGAGGGGGTGCTAGATCATTGACAGGGGGAGCTGCGCAATTAGCCTATATATATATATATATATATATATATATATACACACACACACACTATTATTTAAATGAGCAAAATTTATGAGATGTGCTCCAGTTCACGTGCAATGCAATCGCGCCCGCGCCTCCTTATCTTTATCATATTGTCTGCTATATTTGCTTCTTATTTAGGCTATACCCAGTCTATACCCTTCCTGAACTTCAGCCAGCTCCTTGTTTCCTGTCTGACATTATTGGACAAACTGATTAACCCAGGTGTGTCTGGTATTTGTTACTGGTCAGGCACACCTGGATTAATCAGTTTGTCCAATAATGTCAGACAGGAAACAAGGAGCTGGCTGAAGTTCAGGAAGTAGTGCAGCTGGGCATAAAGCCTATTGGTTGATGAAAAATGTATTAAAATTAAGATACAATTTATACAAAACGAAATTCACTTTAAAAAAGGCTTTCTACAAAACAAAACTTAATTTATACTTAACATAAAAAATAAAAATCCTTTTCCTTTAAATCCTGCTTGTCTGGCTTATGCTACTCCGAGCAATGTCCGAACTTGGTATTTTGAGCACTTCTTGCGTTGTTTTTGCCTTTTCACGATGACTCGCTTGGTTTAGTCCTCAGTTGAGTCGCTTTGGATAAAAGCGTCTGCTAAAATAAATGACTAAATGTAAATGTGTAAATGTAAATTTATTGGTCAAAATCATGTCTGACCCATCATATCTTCCGATATATCGCGCATATTACTCGTGCTGTTCAATTTTCATAATCAGCATAGATGTAAAAAAAAAACGTATTATATTTTAACAAAAATGAAATTAAATGCGCTTATTTAATGGCTACAACACACATAGTGGGCCTGATGGTGCGTTCACGTGCTATGGTAATTATGGTAAATACCAAAAGCCGACATGGAAAATGCACATGAACACCCCCTCATGTGGTATTTTCCACTGGGCAACTCGTAGAATATTTTGATGCACGAGTTGCCGAGATGAGATTACCTTTGACCTTTTCAAAATGGCGGAGAGCAACGCAAGAGTTGTGAATGGTAAAAATATGTACTATTCATGATCTAGAAAATATACAGCATATATTATTTCCGTTTGAGTTTTGATAAATCATTTTCTTGCTGTAGGCTAGCAGATGACTTAAGCAATCTAAAATAGTTTTAGCTAAATAACAGGTCTGGATCTCCATCTTTTTACCACATTACGACAACAAAAGCACTTGAACGCAACACACTGGTAAATACCAGTTTACAAGTGGAAAATATCATATTTTCCATAGCACGTGAACGCACCATCACTCTCTAAATTTTGAAACAAGTAACATTAACAATGCTGAAGTGCAGTTAATTACTAGTAATAAATGTTAATCTAATTAAGTGTTACCGATTTTTTATACACCGATTCAGAGGTCTGGTGAGTTCAGTGTTGGACATGTCAGTTGTTTTAACTATTCATTAAAGTGAATGGTTAAAATGAGTCATTCGTTTGCGTATCGGACATGTGGACGTCTACGGCACGCTTGTGTGATTATCTCGGCAGTTTAGGACATCGCACAAGATTTGCGTCAATACAGAAAACATATCACTGGATAGGTTTTTTCGTTTATTGAAATGTGGTTTAGGTCAGCTGAATGGGCAGAACGCTTTTTAGAGACGATAAGCTGGGCAACGTGATTTTTTTTAGCACAATTCACACACCGCGGTAATTCAGGAGAACAAATCTCCAAATGCTCCACGTGAAATTGCGGTCTTCCGAGCTTTTACTATTGATTTTGATTAAAGGTTCTCTAAGCGATCCTGGGTGACATCACTTCTTGTTGACGTTCGAACTATTGTCAAACAAAACGGAGGCTAGCTAGACCCTCCCTCCTCCTCATCCGCACACTAACCCCCCAAACCACACCCCCAAACCCTTCTTGTCGGTCATTGGCTGGAACAGTTTGTTATGTTTCGGGGAGCGGGTCGCTGCAGTTTGTTTTTGTTGCTGTTTGTGGAGCCTGGGCTGTCTACAGAGATCGCGTTTCTTTACAGTGTGTTCAGAGGACAGGCAGCCAGCGGATAGTGAGGAGATGTTTGCTGTATGTGACAAAAAATGTTTTGGCCAAAAAACGCGCGACATCGCTTAGAGCACCTTTAATATGCGCGAGAAGTGTTTGAAGTGAGAGTGCGCGCGGCCGGGGCTCTCTCTCTCTCTGCTCGTGATGCGCCCTGTCAAGCGCAGCAGTCATTCTATTCTACATCACTCACCGATCAAAAAAGGCTTTGGCGGGACAAAAAATTGCCGTTATTATGTCGAAATACCGAGATATTATATTGAAATAACGACTAAATATCTCGAAATAACATATATTTGAATATAATTGATTCCAGACATTTTTTTGGGGGGTGCTATCGGGGTGCTTTGGACTTTCTTGGGGGTGCTGAAGCACCTGCTAGCCCCTCCCTAGCGCCGCCCATGGCCAAAATTCATAATTCGGTGTGTTTCATTGCATTATCACAAATAAAACAATTGACTCCAAGCACAACAACTATGCAATATGTTTACAAAATCTTTAACAAATTTGAGTAATATTTGAATAAAGGGGGAAGTTGACAAATGTCCTTGGCCGGAGTATGGACACCACTTTTGGCCACTACTGTACAAAAAATTAAAACAATTAATACAAAAAATATATATTATAGGGGAGAGCAACATATACACTGTGCAACAATGCAACATGCACTGAGCAACATATACACTGTGCAACAATTTGCCTGATTGGAAACATTAATTTATTATGAAATAAAACACTGCTAATGCATAAAAGAAAAGCCATGTCTGCAAAAGAAGGGAAAAAAAGCATAATTATCTAATTTGCATGAGATAAACAAGAACTTTTTATTGAAAATTATAATCTGTTAAATTACATGTAATTTTATGTTATCATGAAAGATAACAACAACAAGCAAATAAAAATCATAAAATGCAGTAACCAGGCCTGCCCAGTGTCTACGCATGCGCATAACGACCGCTGATTACATCATGTCTAACGTTAGTTACAGTTGGTTTTACGCTGCCTAGAGTATTCGCTCATGAAAACGAGGAGTGAGTATTTTTACATTAAATGATTTCGTTAAATAATCCTCCCTCTTAATCGCGAGTTCCATTTCAAATAAAACCATATGTTGATTCGCCGTTGCCAAACTGTGACCATAATTACCCAACACGTCACAAAATACAGGCAACTGGTTGCGTTTCTTTACTCTACTATTCACAAGATAGGAAATGAAACGATTATAACTCGCGTCTGCGCGCACGACACACACACACACACACACACACACACACACACACACACACACACACACACACACACACACACACCCTCTTTGGTCACCGACTGCGCAGACGTCGCATCCTGCACAACAGGCTGGAGCAGCCGCTTATGTCAGGAAAGAGAGAGAGCGAAAAAATCTCCTCAGCGTTACGTCAGGAAAGACAGATTTTACCAAAACAACATCCAACTACTTCAGTTAGACGGTGAAATAAAGTTGTTCAGCATTTCAACTCACCCTAGTTTGGTGGCTTTGAATGCCGCGGAGCTCCGACACTGGACTTTGTTTCAGAGTTGCGTTGAGCATGAAGCAGTCGTGATTCCATCCATCTTGTATTTGACGTCATCCCACTCTAGGGATGAGGTCATCGCTAAGAACGCTCGTCACGTGTGCTGCTCTCTGATTGGCTGCTGTAAAAGCTGTGGCCTGTGGGCGTTCATGGAGGAAATGAGCGGAGGATGACAGACTGATAAACAGTTGAGTTAAGTTCGCATGCATACGCTTATTAAAGAAACAGGAAGCATTTAGTCGTCAAGTGTATATAGAAATCAGCACTTCTAAAGAAACGTGTTGCATTCCCCTAGAAGTGATAATTGAAACAACGTGTATTTGTTAGGCCTACTTAATTCACTGTTTAGGTTTGCAAAAAGTGTTTGTATTCAAAATTCAAAATTATTTTTGCACAATGTGTTGTGTGCATTTTATTTAAAAGTGAGAGCTTTAATTGTATTGAATTGGAAAATAATTTCCATCTGATTAATAGAAATTAGCAAAAAATATTATTAAAATATAATATTAATCATATTAAGTTATCAAAATAATAGTTACAGCACTAATAATTCTATTTTGCCATTTTAATTTGCAGCATCTAACTAAACAAACTGCATTGCTCTGAAAGACTTTTTATTATTCTTAAAGTTGCTTATAGACATGATGTTGTATTTTTGTACTACAATATTCTGTATATGTTGCGCGCATTAACAGAGTGATTAACTCATTTCACGTTATTCTAGAAGATCTGGGTTCTGTTCCCTCTGCGACTAATTAAAATGATATGAATAATAAAGTCTGTCAAAGAATCACGGACATACTCATTATATCTTCCTTGGGGAGAGTTAAATTGTGTTTACCCACAAGCAAGTTAACTCATAATATGAAAGTGAAACTGCATGAGGAAAGTTCAACACTATCACACATAGTGATTTTTGATGTTTGTGTAGGAAAATGACATGCTCTATTTCCAGGGTTCCCATCGTTACGGAAAACCTGAAACTATCAAGGATTTTTAGAATTGTGCTGCATGCAGCACCGCAAAAATGTCCGCCCACTGCTCCGGGTCTGTGTGTCCACGGTTTGCATTGTGTGTGTTCACTTCTCACTGCAGAGGACAAATTCAGAGTATGGGTTACCATACTTGGCCTCCATGTGCCACTTTCACTTAAATCAGGATTTGAAATCAGTGTGTAGTTTGGACACCATATAATTTCTGACTCAACACAGCAGGAACAGCTCAAAACTGCAATACAGAAACACCACATATTTTGTACTGTAATTTGATATATATTTAAGCTCGATTTATTTTCCTCATTCTATTTGACAAATAACGTGTTGAATTATGATCCTCTCAGTAGTTTCTCAAGCACACGGTACATTGTGCTCTCTTGCTCTCTGCATGAGAACACATTAGTCACTCAGTGAGCGCATAACACTGACATTCTTTAATTAGGCAGTTTTTCACACCACAATTATTAGCTGCTAGATTTATCCAAATGCCAGCCTGGCTGCTGATAATCAGGGGTCCGTATGTGTGCGTGTCTGTGTATCTGTGTATTTATGACTTGTATGTTCTCATAGGCTAAGTATTATGTGCAATGCTAATTCTAACTAAGCTGGTTCAGACACAGCACAATTTTCACCAGGAAGAAAACATCTTCTAAGCAAAAAGCCTTTTGCAGTTCAACAAGTGTGAGCTTAGAGGTTTGCAAAAGTGTGTAAAAGGCATGGTGACACTTTAGGGAGCATCATTAGGGAATTTTCTCACCATTAACTCAAATAAAGGCTATTGCCATGGCTAAAATGTCTGATAAGACCAAAATCAAACCACATTTATTCATTCTTGTTTATAATAAGCAGCATTTTACTCTACTGTATATTTTATTCTCAAAACACTTTCAAAATTAATTTTAATTCCCACTACCAGGCCACCATGGCTTAAAGGTAAATTGTCAATATCACATATTGCATCATGCAGTAGGTGAAAGTGAAATGCTTTTAAAAATGTCACTGTTGTTACAGGAGTCACCTGTGCAGAGCAGTTAGAACAGACTCAAGGGAGTTGATGGGCGTCTGTGGAGAGAGCAGTGGGAGAGGGGCAAGAAGAAGGGTTTGCTTCCAACAGTGTATGTGGAGCTCATAGAGTAACATGTTCTGTTCACAATGACTGGTTTTTAAAAACGAGAAGCAAGAATTTGGCAAATCAAGATTCAAAATGCATTGGGTCGTTGCTACCTGGTTAATCGCATCTCTCCTTGGCCTTGGAATGGGGCATAATACTTTATTTGAAGGTAGGAAAAATCTGCTTATGTTATTCAAATATGTTTGATTTCAGTATCAAAACTGTGTCAGATGTTTTCCTAAAATATCAAATAGAAATAAAAATGTGACATACAGGAAAAGTATCTAAAATGAATGTGGATAAAAGTTTTGATGAGAAAGTTCATAATGAAATCTCGGACATTTGATTTCATACTTTGGTATCGTGGCAAACCAGAGCAATAGTTTCACCTCTGAACCTCTTAAGTAGATTTCTTTCTCCAAAAAAAAAACAGTGAAGAATGAGCAGGAAAGTTCTCCATTTATATAAACTCCCCGTTTCCACTACATTTAATCTCATTGATTTTTCTTTTCTGGTGGGATGTTGTCTATAAATATGAATCTCTTTTAAATGTTATATTTTTTTATATATGTAGCAAACAAGTAAGAAATATTACTACAATTGTGAAATATTATTACAATTTCAAATAAATGCAGTTCTTTTGAACTTTTTTTTATTAATCAAAGAATCCTGAAAAAATGTATGGTTTCAACAAAACTATCACGAAGCACAACACAATGTTTTCAACATTATTAATAAAAATAAATGTTTGTTGAGCACCAAATCAGAATATTAAGGTGATGATACACTGGGCAACTTTTTGAGCAATATTTAGATCGGTCGTGGGCTCTGTGTCTCATCTGGTTGCCCGTTGATGGCAACATTGCTCAAAAAGTTGCCCTGTGTATCATCACCTTTAGAGTGATTTCCGAATTATCATGTGACAATGACGACTGTAGTAATGGCTATAAGATTGTAAAATTAGTCTATTCCAAACAATTTTGAATTTCTTTAATTTTTCAGGATATGACCGGACTCTGTCAGGTTATCATCTGTGTAACGTGACTGAGCATGTTTCGGTGACCAATGTGATTTCCTATCCAACCTCATACACCCAGAGGAGACCTTGTGGTGGGTGGCTGCCATGGGCAATGTGTGATGTCATGGTTTATAAGACAGAATACAAAACACAGGTGTATAACATGTCCAAACAGGTCATGAAATGCTGTCATGGCTACGAACAAGTTGGGAGTTACTGTGCCTTGTGTGAGTATTTTCAAACAAATTCATTTGAAATAGATTGTAAAATTGTCCCAGGAAAGAGAAGCGATGCTGCGGATTGTCTTAATCAGCATTTAAAGTGACATTATTGTAGCCTTTTTTTTTTACCGTAAAAGTTTTTTTTAATTGATTGCTATTGTCATTATCTCAGCCTTGAACCGAAGTGCAGAATTCACATCTAAGCCAGGACTGTGTCCCTCAACAAGTGTGACAAGGTCTCTGTGGAATAATTCAAACTCTTCTGGCTCTATGTGCAAGTGGGACATAGATTGTTCTCAGTGGCAAAAATGCTGTCAGACAGAAAACATCTATCAGTGCTCATACCCAGTACCACCAGGTATACACAATCCCATACACTCCATCCAGAATTCTTATAGGCACATTGTTAAATAACATTCAATAAGTTTAAAATGTCTATTTGTCCTCAAGCCTACAGAACCTGCTTCAATGTGACAATAACAGTTAAGACAAGCTTTCAGCTAGTAACTATGGACGAAGGACTCTTCAACCACACCAGACTACTGCACTCCGTGGTTTGTAATCATCGGCCTATCATTCAATTACTTTACAGTATAGTTGAGCTCCCTACCTAGACAGCATACTTGGAGCAAACACTACATTTTGAAATAGCCCATAGGCTTTGTCTAGTGGCTATGCTGATCTGCAGAGATAACTGCTGTTTCTTTCCGTAGGTAACTGGCGCTCTGGGAACTGCTGAAATTTCTGTGCATCATGTCCGGTCATGGTCAGCAGGGCCCTTCACAACCTCTTCATCACTGCTGGTTTGTTCTTCTAATGTCTACTTTCTAGAAGATATCTCTACAAGACTGCGTCTGTTGGGAAACATTGAGGAGGTGACTAGTGTGGATGTCCAAGGTATGACAAGTAGGCATCGTGATTGGCATTGCATATGATTCATTTAGTCAAGAATGACAAAATGTGCTTTTAATGTGAAATATTGAACATATTTCAGTGTTTGATATTTTTGTATACATTTGTATTGTGTTGAGTCGCCACTTGATGTCTAATGTACAATCCAATAAACATAGCCATTATGTCTTTATGACTGTTTATAACTGTTTTAAGTCAGTTACATACGTAGATTGGCCTAATCTGATACCAAAAACTAAGATTGATTTCCCCTAACTAACTGCTAGTTGGTCATAGTTCTTAAAGTCCCCCTGTGGTCAATCATTTGTTCCCTTAAAACTCACCTTTGATCACCAAAATGACACATTAATCGTTTTCCTTGAAAAAAGTAATCAGGTCTTAAAATAGCTTGAATGTAAAACACTACACCCTTGCTTCATTTAGTATAAGCGTTCTATGAATATGCAAATTAGCCCCGCCCCCACCAATGGCGCCGCCAGGGGGTGGCCGCCACCCCTGGCCGACTCCTGGCCACCCCAACGGCCAGAAGAAATTTTAGTAGCATCAGCTATGCATTTCTTAAATAAGTCAAAAATATTCTTTAGTAAAAGAAGACGGGGCATTATGTGTCGTGACGTGCTTTTTCAGTGCCAAGTGGTTACAGTATAGCTACTGTTACAGCAGCTTTTTGATGTGTCTTTGCCACGTTTTGACAAGCAGGGATGCAAACAGCGCGCTTTTCGGCGCCTCTCGCTTTTTTTACGTCAGTTTGGGTGACAAAGTCATCTGAAGTCATTCCATAGCTTAATGTGAGGGACAGAAGTCTATTTACATCATTCAAGTATATACGGAAACTCGTTTTCCCTCCTCTGCGGCTGTCAATCATTCTCCAATCATATTCAAACAGCGCGCGCGCCTCTTGGATGCACGGTAAAACTCTCACAAAATTATATATTCACAGTATAATGCATGGTCTGTAGATAAAAGGCTGTAGATTTGCATAAAATTACTTTATTTTGTTGGAGTTTGTTGTTTTTAAACGACTCACTATACCGTGTGCTTGCTAGATCATCACACACACATCACAAGGACTATGAATCGGCATCAAACGCACAATAACTGGAATATAAAACTGAAACAAAGGAACAAATCGCACTAGGATTTGTGCACTCGACATTTCTTTGCTTTGTGACGTGAACTTTTAAATACGCACTTATGCAGCGCAGGCGCAGCACACACAGAGTCAGCATGTTGCTTTGAGCACATCATTCTGCACCCGCGATGCGCATACACGCTGTGTGCGCTCTGTTTTTCATGTTATCATCGGTTTGCGCACTGAAATATTATTAAAAGCCAATATATTTTGTTATACCTAGCCTGCTCAATACATTTAAAATAAGCATAATTTAATTGTATATTATTTCTTTGTAGTGTAGGCTATATATGCACTTCTGAATTCTTGACATTAATATATGTGAAATGTATGATTGCCTGATTGAATTTTATAAGAGGACTAATAGTAATTTGTTTTTATTAACATATTTAGATTTTATAAAATTACTGTGCAGATTTTTTCAAGAATTACTTTTTGCTGCTGATTTATACACTCATTAAGTTTATTAAAAAAATCATAGTACATTTATGTAATATTTAAAGGTGTTAACTGTAATCTTACACAGCAAAATAATAACTTTAAAAGGATTAAATTCATCACAATTATGTAAGTATCTGGAAATTTGCCACGGGGCTAGGGCCCTTATATATATATCATATATATATAATATATATCATTATATATAATATAATATATATTAGTAGGGCCCTACTAAAATCATTAGTAAGCTAACATTGAATATAACACAATAAACCAAAGTATATCAGTAGGAGTTTCCTTAAGTCTTTCTGATAGTTTTCTACAGGCCGGTTTACTACAACAGTAGAATAAAATTCTGAAATTATGGTTTATAGTTTTGGTGTGCCACCCCAAGATTTTAAGTGGCCCCATCTGGCCACCCCTATGAAAAATTTCTGGAGGCGCCACTGGCCCCCACTCACACCAGCTCAGAGATCCACTCGTTGACATGATTGGTTACAAGGTAGTTTGTGACGTCAGAAACACCAGCGATTTCAAACCGTGTTTTTGAAACTGTCTTTAGTTCACTGCAGTTTTAAGGAGAAAATACTCAGAAATGGTGTTGACTTATGAATTTGCACATGGTTTGTCTTAAAGCATATTAAAAACACCACATAGACATACAGCATGATTTTCACCACAGGGGGACTTTAAGACACAGTCATAACATAATGGCTAATAGGTTTTGAGAACCACTGATCTATATTAACTTTTATGTAATAATAACAACAGCTTGTCCATTATCTTGATGAATCCACATCTTACAAACACACTCATGGATACATTATCTTTTCCTACAAAGGTGTGGATGAATGTGCAGTTCCGGAATTGAACAGTTGTTCTCCACATGCACACTGCAGGAATACAGAAGGATCTTACTCATGTGCCTGTCATCATGGGTATCATGACCTCAATCCTTTACAGCCAGGAACAGATTGCATGGGTAAGAAAAGACAACCATTCAATCAACCACATGAAGCTACCAGACGAAGACTAAAAGGGTTGAAATTAAAATAGAGTTTGAGAGCTCTAGCCGTTTCCTTCTTTTGCTTTTCTGAAGGCCTTCTTGGATGTTTTTGGTCACACACCTGTTTTTTAAAGGTGCACACACCATTTTGTTTTGTTTATGAAGCCCCATAATAAGTCACCAAAAATCCAGTTAAGTGTTTTTTGTTTGTTTCTAATGCAGCCCCCAGTGTCACTGTGCGACCTTTCATGAACAACACTACTCCATCCTCGATTACTCGCCCCCCGCCAGGTACACTTGGAATAAGTTCTGCTTATCTCCAACTCTGTCAAAAATGATCAGTTATGATGCACATTTTCATCAGGAATCACTTTGAATCTAGTTTGCGCTGCTTTCCCTTCTTTTTTAAGGTAATAGAACTATCACTGATGGAGAACAAACGAGTCCCATCCCCTCTGGTCCATTCTGGACATCCACTGTTGATCCCTCTTCACGTTCAAACAATCCTTCCATCAGCCTACCACCTTCTACATGTGGTCTGTAATGCAAAAATGCCAAGTACACATACAGCCAGAGGACATTTTGTTAATACATTTTAAGTGGCACAGTATATGTGATTCTTGGATCAAATAAATAATGCTGAAAAAACAGACATACAGAAAACAAATGGCTTTTTGGTCGTCTCTAAACCTGTCTAGATCTAAATTAGTACAATGTTGGGAAATTTTAAGTCATGGTAAATTGTGTTTCGAATTGGTCTGAATCAGTTATTAATGGAAACTCAGTGTTCAAAAATCGCTTTTGTTAAAACAAATGTCTTTGAACCCCCCTTATTTTCATACACTGTGTTTGTAGCCTGTTGTGACTTGAATAGCCATATATATATATATATATATACAACTACTAACTTCTTTTTCGTTCTTTGTTAAGACTACATACCTGAGATCACCAGTCTGTTCGCTTATGACGTAAATGCATCAACCTTTCATGTGGCATGGACCACCAACAACCAAACTGGGATCACTTTCCACCTGCTTCTGCTACAAGGGAACATTGTGCTGGAAAACATATCGCATGTGGGGAACTTTTCCTGGATGTTCAATATCCTGAATCCTGCGGTTCTTTATACTGTACGTGTCACTCCATTTGTCTGTGGTAACCAGGGAAACTCCAAGGAGATCACAGTGAGAACAGGCAAGTATAGCATTGGGTTTATTAGTATTAAATGCTTAATGTATAATTTATGTATAATTTTAGACCTTCTTTATTACAAATTCAGTCTATAATAATACTACGGGTTATAGATTCCTGAAGTTTATGCTGTATATTACGGTGTCAGCATGATAAATTGTGCTCACATTAAGGTAACTAAATACTGTGTTTTCTTTAGATGGACAGTCGCTTCTAGCTACGGCTCGTTTGACAAACATGAACTATACAAAGGCCTTGAGTGACCCAAACAGTGATGCATATAAGGAGTTCTGTAGAAGTGTCATAGTTGAGGTTTGATGGATTCCATATTTGTCTAAACACATGATTCAAAATGTATTAACATGATACTTTAAGCTTGACATAAAATACACTCTTCAATCATCCAGTAAAAAAAAACCTTTGTTTACTAAAAGCTTGATGTTATTAGAGCAATTGCGCATCCTCTTAAGGTTTGAGATATATTATTATTAAACACTGTCCTGCACATTTAAACATGAATGGTAAAATAAAATGAAACCATAAATTATGCAACTAGTGAAGGAAAGGTGACTTACAGGTTTCACTTGAAGGCAGTAGGGCTACAGACTAAAGGTCCTTCACACTGAGTCTGAAATTTTCTAATGCGTTTTTTTTTTTGTATTCATCATTTGGTGGCTCTGAATTGTCAAAACACCTCTAAAAATGCTTGCTACGGATGCGATAAATGCAGAAAATGGAACTCGAACCCGAATTTTCTTTATGACGGACGAAAGTTTCGGAGGCATTGTGTAAATGTGATTGACACAACGTGAGGTCGTATTTATTTTTTAACGTGCAAAAATTTCGGATGAGAATTTGACTCAGTGTGCAAGGAACTAAAGTCTACAAATAATCGTGATAATGATTACAGCTGCCTCAATTCACTTTTGCCTTAAAGGTTTCTGTAGTAGAACTGTAGTAGTCAACTTCATTGCTTTAACCCTACCATAACCCTATAACTAAACATATCTCCACCCATTAGGTCCACAGAGGTGGAGCTGGACTACGTCAAGCTCCACCCATTATGTCCAGAGAGGGGGTGGTGGGCTCAGTCAGCAAACTTAGCAACACCCATTCAAACACCTTAGCAACTACATAGCAACACCCTGGCAACCACCCGCAACACCCTAGTGTTTTGCATTGGCAAGCACTCACATTTTCATCAGATAATGCAAAAATCTTTTTGAAAAAAATATTTTGTTTTAAGCTATATGATTCATAATAACCAAGATCATTTTCAAAAATGTGTTGATTCTCTTTCAAATGTGTCTGCAGATTCTTTTGTACTTGCCTCCAGAGACCCGTGCACTAGTCAACTCTAGTCAGGTCATCATCCAGATAACATCCCTCTCAGCTGGCAGTGTAATCGTGCACTTTTCCATCATTTTTCAACCCAGCAGCAACCTGACCATGTCTAGCATGTCCAGAGATTTTATTGCGTCTCTACAGAAAAGCACTACGTACACAGTAGACAGTATATACACAGAAGGTACGGGTTATTCTTTCATGTATTAAAGAATTAAAGAAGTTATTACTAAACATTAAATGAAGTTTGATGTTGGAACTGTTTCCACACTTGTTAATAATGTGACATGTTGACTTGAGATGTGATTGGTCTCTTGTTATTTATAGATTTAAATGAGTGTTTGGCAGCTGAGGCGGACTGCTCTCCGTGGGCTTCCTGTGAAAACACGAATGGCTCATACACCTGTGCCTGTTGGTCTGGATACACAGATTTGAGCCCCAGTAGACCAGGACGCAGCTGTGCAGGTACATGCTGTATAATGCTACTGTTGAGAGATTTCATTAGAATGTCACACACCTTTAATTGAGACAAAAAGAAGTCAATCAAGCACAGATACTTGTGACTAAAAATGACAGTATGGATGTGGGATACTGCAGCAATAGAGTGCCACAGTGATGAAGTATTTTTGTAGGCCAACTCAGAATATAGCATCACCCAGGTTGATCCCTTGACAAAAACCCAATAGGATTTTCCCATTGGCTTTTGAATTATAGCACAAAAAAGCTGCTTGACCAACAAGAGTTTATCATTAAAGTTCATCATGATAATCTTCACAAATGAAAGCAACTTTTATGAATTTTAAAGCATTATTCCATTACAATTTCTAGAGTTAAAAAGCTAAATGTAGGCTTTAAACAAACTATACCACAGTCACATGACTTCAATGTCACCACCATTAAGCTTTCAATAACTCTTTCAGTCTTTACTTAAAAAAACATTTTCTCTGAAATTGAGTTAGAATAGTTACAAAAGTGCAATTATAAACAGGAGGCTGTGAAAGTGGAGTAGTGAGTAGATGGGTTAACCTGTTCGATGTGATGACGTTTAATGTCCTTTGTAGTTCCATTAAGCCACTTGTTAGCAATTGCCTTTTCAAGACAAGTAACAGCTTTTTTTTAATGCTGTAGAACAAAAACTTGAAAATATCTTAAGCCTGTGTTAATCACAGACCTTATTTCAGGCATTTAACCCACTCAATAAAACCATCAACTTCAGGACAATAGAACTTGTTTCTGGATTTTGACCTACAAAATATGTCATCCCTGAAGCACTCTATAGCAAGCGAAAACAATCCAATCAATTCTAAGAGGATAAAATCAAGTCCTCCCTAAATTTTTTTCCATTTCAAAAAGCAGTTTCAATCGAAAAGCTACTCAGATATACTGTATCTGTTATTATATTCTCATCTGTGTTTCTTCCTGTTCATGACATAGCTTCACCTAACGCCACAACCATTAATCCCACCAAAAACTATCCTGGAGTATCTTCAAATTCCACTGGCACGGACACTACAACATCTATTACAAAAACTACGTTTGGAAACCCATCTATGTACAGTACAGTGAGCACAACTCATGTTCAGAACATCACCAAAACAACAGTGTCTTCGACTTCCACGACTACCAGACTCACAACAATGCCGGCAAACATTACTACAACAATACTCACACCCATGACATCACATACTACAGCAGGCCCTTTGATCGCATATGTAGCTGTTGAGTGCAGCCCAGGGTATATATCAGTCTTCATAAGGCGACACATCTTCATGGCCTACAGCATCCTAGAGACTGCCCTGTACCTTGGCAAACCAGAATGTGTTCTCAACGGAAGAAATGAATCCCATGTGTGGGTCACTACAGCTTGGGATAAGTGTGGTATTAAACTAGTGCATGTAAGTCCTCCAGTATCAACTTTATTATTAAGATAATATTGTAGTTTATGAATATCTTGGATTGTTTTTTATTTTTCCATATTCATTTTAGTTACATTTTTGTAATTTAGTTTTTTATTTTAATGTTTTTTATTTATATTTGTTTTTTATTTCAGTTTTAGGTTTTTTTAAAATATAAAGTTAAGCTAGTTTTATTATAGAATACGTTGACACAGTTACTTATAGGCAGAAGAATGTCTGTTAGGGGAACATCTTAGTAGAGTATTCATTTTAGTAGACTGTCTGATTAATATCTGCCAACACTTTATTTTGATGATCCCCCAACAGACATTCTTACTATAACTAACTTTGGCAACTGCATGTCAACTTATTCTGCTGCTAACCCTATCCATAACAGTCTATTAGTTAGTTGTGGAGCTCCACGATTAATCGTTAAAAGATCGCAATGTCGATTCAAACACCAACGCGATCTTATTCCTAAACGAAAACGATTCTCCCGTGTCTATTATAGCCTACCTTTGACAAAATCACAGCGGAACATTCAAATCAGCTATTAACGGCTATTAGCCTATATGAAACAGACAAATATTCATATTATAACCTAAGAAACTGGGTTAAACGTTTAGTTCGGATATAAACATTGATGTCTATGGAAGCGATAAAAATTGAGTAAATCACCTTTAACATAGCCATTTAAATAACGTCTGTATTACATTTGTTACGCCAGTAGGTGGCGACAAGTTGTCTCATGTAGCTAGACCTTCAGACTGACAGCAGAACGTCTGGACTATGGGAGTCCCTATAGCGAGACTGTGTCCTTCCTAGTCCAGTCCTTCTGAGGCTTGTAGGCTAGACTCCTCCTCAGCAATTAAACGCTAGAATGAGGTCTAGTAAGTGTTCATGGCTACTGTATATCCCCAACGGGGGTAATCCATCAGGCCGCCAAGGTAGCAGACCATCACCTGTTAGCATTCCATTGAATCCCATTCATTTTGGCGTCACTTTGACAGCGAATAACTTTACATCTGAGGCGTCCAAAGACTCCATTTGTCCATTATTTATTTCTAAAGAAACACGACAATGTATAAAAGGCTCCCTTACTTTGTATCTTACGTTATGGCCCCGTTGAAGGCGTTTTTGTAAAAATAGGCTAACGATTGCGTCATAACCACGCGACTCTCTGTCGCGCAGTAGAGAAATTACCGTATAGACACTAGGAGAAGCTCGCGGGCAATCGGGGGGACGTGGAGGCATAAAGTCAAGGGAGAAGCCCATAGACAGTCATAAAGTTGATCCTGCTGCTAGCTCATAGACAGCTCCTACTCACGCTCTCCGTCTCTGCAAGATTCGGAAGGGAATGATTCAGATTCCTCTTGGCACAGATACTAGAAGACTTACAACTGTCAGACAGGTTGCTCACGTCACATCTACGTCGTCAAGCTCAGTTTGAGCCTGTGCGGTTCGCTCAGCCATCAGGAAGTGAGTGCTTCAATTGGCTTCACTTTTCTCCATTTTGTCCATTTTTTTTACTTTCTATGTATGTCCCACCCCCACAGTCACTGCACGAAAATACTAAAGGGGTGGTATAATGCCCTTTTCACAAATGTCTGATGTCCCCAGAGTGTGTATGTGAAGTTTTAGCTCAAAATACCCCACAGATATTTTTATATAGCCTAGCATGTTAAAATTGTCACTTTTTGAGGGTGAGCAAAAACGCACCGTTTTTGTGTCTGTTTCTTTAAATGCAAATGAGCTGCTGCTCCCGGCACAGAGGGCGGAGCTTCAACAGCTCCTTCTTAGCTGCTTCGATTACCTGCAGTGCAGACATGCACTGAAAATTTCAAAAACTTTTAGCCTTTTGTTCAAACCGGAGTCAGACAAAATGGAGAGACTCAAGAAGAAAACATACAGAAAACATTTCTGAATGGTTACACTCTAAAAAAACTGGGTTGTTTTAGCCCAACTTTGGGTCAAATAAGGACAAAGCCGTTGGGTTAAATTTTTACATTACATTTTTAACCCAAACATTTGGGTTTGTCCATATTTGACCCAAAATTGGGTTAAACAACCCAGCATTTTTTAGAGTGTAGTTGATGAATTAATGTAGCTTATGTAGTTATCTTCTAGTCATTGATTAGCATATTCTGTCTTGATAATCCCTAATTCGTCTTCCAGGGGCGGGGTTTATTTACATTTTGTGTTGGAATGTCGTGTAGTCCCTACCAGCTGTTTGTTGTATAGTCCTTAAAAAGCGATTTCTTTAAAAGAAAATATCTCCCTTTGCTTTGAACTTTGAGCATTGTAATTTTGCAGATGTTGTTTATGATCAAACAGCAACATGACACACTAACTAAAGTTAGAGAAGTGAACTCATAATCAACCACCCCTTTAAAACTTAATTTTGGACAAATACTTTGTAATACAAATCTTTATATTATTATCCTTATATTAACTGCGTTTCTATTAATACAATTCAGTGAATGACAGCCGTCTGCGGTCTCCCAGTGGCTTACATTATTGTCAGTTTAGTGTTAGTGATTAATTTACAGCAAAACAAAAGATAACATCTATGCTTTCATGTCTGAAAACATTATTTTTGTCCTACATTTCATAATAAAATTAAAAGCTCAGTAATGACTCATTTTCCGTCCATTTATTTTCGTGAATTTAAAAGGATTGTGGGGGATTTAAGGCCACGAAGGATACATCAGATGTATCCTTCAAAAGAGGCCGAATGAAGAATGCAAAACGAAGGCTTCCAGTAAAGTGTGACATGCATCACGTGGTTGAGACTAGGCACCAAGTGACTTTCTTTGTCATTCCTTCAAGAGATTAGTTAAAAAAAACGCTGATTCATCCAGTAATGAAACAAGTTAAGTATTTATGAGTGATTCATTGAATCATTCATTCAATCCGATTAAAACAAATAAAGAAATCATTCAGATTAACTGCAGCAATTAACATGTTGTCAGAACTTCTAGTAAATTACATGTTATTATGTTTAGTTGTCTGGTCAGAATCGTGTTTGAAAAAAAAAAAAAAAATCGTGATTCTCAATTTATCCAGAATCGTGCGGCTCGGTGACATGTATAGGTGCAATGTTACTTATAGTCAACACAATGTTTGAAGTGCACCATCAAAATAAAGTATTAACAAGTTGTGTAATGGTTTTAGTTTTTGTTAACTATAAAAACTGGTTTATGTAGAATATAATAAGATAACATAACCAATGTTTTTGTTTTTGTCTTTCAGAACAGCACCCATAATTCATTCAATGTGACTCTATACAACAATGTGTCTGTGGCTTCTAATGTGCATCTAGAAGTTCCCATCATCTGCACTTACCCCAGTCGCATCACCATCTCCACGGGATACGACCCTCCAGGGTACAGTGCTTCCATAGCAACTGTCTTTATGGAACTTGTTTTTCTCGCTTTTCAGGCTCAGTACCTCATCTCTTGTCACGTCAAGTACATCTAGACTCAATTTAAGGTGTTAATTATGTCAGCGTATATTAAACAACATACATTTTTCCTAAACTCAGATACCAAACTGAGACCAGATACCTGGGTGGAAACTCCTAGAAAAAAAGGAAGGCATATTTTCAAAAAGAAAATGAAGACTGTTTTAAGAACCATTATAAAAATATAATTCATGAAAATGCAAAAAATAGCATTTGGTCGCAAAAGCAAAGCAGGCTTAATTGTCTTTAAGAATTTTGATTTCTGAGTGAAACCCATTTTGTCGCTACTAACAAACCTTGTCTTTTAAAGGTATTTTAATATGATCAATGACCCAGTGGCAGGATTGGGTAGCTTCCAGGTTACAGTGCGTCTGCTGAATGGGACGTCTCCATTACCTGAGAATTCCGCCTTATACCCTGATGATGAGGTCATCGTTGAGGTTGCGATCAACACTAGTATCTCCCAAATCAAAGTTGTCATCAGCAAGTGCTGGGCCACTTCAAGCAACAACTCATCAGAGTCACCCAGCCATCTGTTTCTGCTGGATGGGTGGGTGCAGCTTAATAATGTCTTTCAATATGGGATGGGAATGTAAATTTTGCAATGGCTATTTTCATTTGACAAGAACTTGTAGCTTTTAAAGGTACACAATGTAACTTTTGGCCCTCTAGCGGTAAAAGACAAAACTGCAAGAATTTTGCGGGAGAACTTCGGCTCCGCCTATGAAAATGGTTATCCTACTGCTCATAAAACATTCACTACTAGGCTTTAGAGATATAAGCAGTTTAGATGGATTTCAAGCTGATTAGCTGAAGACGTTACCGTTGCTATATCCAGTAATAGTCCCACTCGCCATCTTCGAAAAGCCAAGTCAATGTTGATTCTTGTTTTATTGTAGAGATCTGTACCGTTCTTTTTTTGCCAGCAGACCCTGTTAGGGATTTTTTTTAGTGATTCCCCAGAGGTAAGATATTTAGGGCCAGATTTACTAACAGCTTGCGTCAGTGCAAACCCTCTTTTGGCATTAAAAAACTACTGTCAGAATTTTACTAAAGACACGCAGTGAAAAATGAGTGCTGAAAAGGCGTGGACAGGGTGATTTTTGTGGCTGACCTTAAGAGTATAAATGAATCATGCAAGGTGATTAGTCAATTTACTGGTATTTGCGCCATTATTTACAGCCCCCGAAAAACCTGTCTTAAACCAGACGCTAATAAGTTTGAGTTTGTGTTGGTCATTATGGAAATGATTTGGCTGCATCTGTGTTCTTTAATCTGTGCGTCGTCACGTCAGTAGATAAGATCACACGCAGAACTTTCCACTCCCATCAGCGCTTCTTTTGGAAATTGTGCTCTTACACTAATTTGCCCTGTTTAGTAAATCTGGCTTTTAGTGCCATGTCAACCTTTCTCGCTCGTTGTGACAACTAAACTATGCCACTCGGAGCAACTTTTCTCTATTTACGGATATAACAAGAAACGCAATGGCGAGTGACGTATAGGCTATGCAATTTCCCACGAAAACCATCCCGCTAGGTTTAACGGCACCGTTTTTAACTAAAATCGTTCACTAAAACTTTTTATGTGTTTTGGCCACTCATTTACACGACAGCTGCGTTTTGAGTTTCAAAGTGCAAGTTTTTGAAAACGATACCGTTATCGTCTCCGTGTCAACTACAAAAACACAAATTGTGCATGAAAAATGCAAAGGAATAACTGATTTTAGTACATCATTGTAAACGTACCCTAAAATGATGTATTAACTCATAATTTAAATTTTGTTAATTCAAAAGTAGGTTTTACCATGATATACATAATCACAGGTGTGTTCTGTTATTAGAAACACGCTGTGTAATGCCAGTGTTCACACATCTCTCACTGCTCCTCAGATGTGCAGTGGCAGACTACACAACTGTTCTTCAGAACGGAAACAGCACCGTGTCTTTGCTGTCAGTGCAGATCTTCTCATTGGTGAATCTGGACGTCATCTACCTGCACTGCCAGATCCAGATCTGTGTTGAAATTCAGGAAAACACCTGCAGACCTGTGGGTTGAGAGCTTACATTTCATGTAATTCATTCATATAGAGTGGCCTTACAAAGCATTTGGACACTTAGGCCTCACAAACCAAGAATTAAGTGGCACCTGCAATTATTATTTTATTTTATACTATACAGATTTTATGTATTTTAAGTGTCCAAATACATATTGGGACCACTATAATTTATGCTAAATAGATAAATAAATAAATAATTGCTGTGGTTGTATTACAATTTATTTTACAATTTATTTATTTTTATTTCTTTCACATTTTGTTGTTTATTTTTTTTTTAAACTTTTTTGCATGAATTAAAAGTACAGCATGAGAACGGCGATGTAAGAAAGTTTAATATATATAGGCCAATAATCTTTTTGCAATTAATTAGGACTGTATGGGGAGGGCATACAGGGCTTCCAACTTAATTGGATTGACAAAGGCTTCCGTTGGACCCTTAAACAGATTACATAAAGGTAAATACTTGAGTACTAAGGAATATGAATGCTCATATAATATCTTTATTCGTTGTATATAAGGACATCATTTCAGTTGACAAAATCACTACTAAATCTTTTTTTTTTCTTAAAGCATCGCCCCAAACGGATACATCAGATACTCTGCAGACTATTGGATTTGTTCTACTTGGCGTTGGTGTGTTTCTATTTTCCCTGGCTGCCATCGCAGGATTGGTGTATCACAAAAGGAAAATCGGGGTCTACAACTTTAATTTCAAACCACAGCAGGAGAACTTCAGCTATAATGTTTTTAGCACGTAACTGCTCTGTAACCGTAAACTGAGGTATAATGTTATTATTGGATATTAGGCCTATTACTAAATACACATTACTACTAATATTACTGCACTGTAAAAAATATATTTTCATGGTTTGTTATCACATATTTTTTCTTTTGTCAAATCAACTCAGATAATTGATGTTGTTCAGATAACATATTTGGAATTTCTGTTGATAAAACCAATCTCCTTCGTAGTATTAACTCAAATAAACTCAAAATTAAGGCAATCAGGTTACTTACTTTTTTAAGTTAAACCAACAATATTTTTTAGTGTAAAATTGGATATTACGAATAATTTTGCATAGAACATTAAAATTAAGGGTTTAATTTAACTATATTTTTGTACTAAAAACATACAAACAATCTACTATGAAAGTCATTCGGGTTTTTCAGCACTTTAAAACTTAAAACAAACTACCAAATGCACAGCTTTGTCAGTGAGGCACTCTCTTAAATATGCCACTAGAGGACGCTGTTGTATTAGCGGTTCAATTTGATACCAGCTTTGGTCTGTTGTCTGTATGTGCTGTAGCTACATTTAGTGGCAAATGGAAATTTGAATTTTGTTTTATTAGTCATATTTTAAATAAATGTATACTTTACCTGTCTATTAAATGTTCTATCAAATTAGTGTTTCAGACTGTTCATTTCTTTATAAAAAAAAAAAAAAAAGGTTTAAGGAGTGCATGTTTTACCAAATCCTATCGTATAACCCTACAACTCTTGGAATATATAACATATGGACCATTTTGTGATACTTTTGCGTATTTTTTTATTTATTTAAAAAAAAAAACCTTGATGCTGGCCGTGGTCGTTATTCACTCACTGCCATTATATGGACGAGTGCGAGCGGGACTTTTATTTTTTTTTATTCTCCTTTTGTGGTCCGAAAAATAAAGTAGGGCTAGGGCATAGGCCTACACAATTAGAATAACACCAGCCTGAGTAAACGATTAATTCATTTTTACTTTAAGGTGACCTAAACCTCTAACATTCCTAAAAAATAATGCGAGTATCCGAGACTTTGGATGCATGGAGCCTGTGGGAGAGAACAAAACCTCCTCGCATTTATTGTTGGCTGAATGGGTTTGTGAATTCTCCAGAGACCTGGGGCCTCATTTATAAACGTTGCGTACGCACAAAAGGCGGCGTACGCCGCTCTCTACGCAATAATTGGTATTTATAAAAAGCAAACTTGACGGTAAAATGTGCGGTCCTTCACGCAAGCTCTGACCCAGGCGTACGCACAAAAACGGGTGAAATGAGAAATGGCGACACCGTCGGCAGATGGAAGAAACACGTGAAAGTGTGTGAAACTGTAGACCGTTGTGTAATGGCAATACTGCCTCTCATAAATAACACGAAGACTTCACAAAGCAAGTCTTACAATTAACAGCCTACACGAACACCCGTTTGATCGATCTGCAACAGAAATGCAAATTAACACATATTTGCAAAAAGAAAAGTGAAATATGTTCTGCAATAATATTGGCATGTTATACAATTCATCCTCATAAATAAGACAGAATGTTATACAATTGTTATACAATTCATCCTCGTAAACAGAACGAAATAATGTACAAAACTGATATTCTCGCCAATGTGTCTAGATAGATAGATAGATAGATAGATAGATAGATAGATAGATAGATAGATAGATAGATAGATAGATAGATTATTTGTCCACTGGGGAAAGTTGTTTTCATAGTAAAAATGTCTTTATCAGCTACGGAATCATGGTAGCCTATTCATGCATATGCCTTTAGTTTGTTTTATTTTTGATAAAATAACGTATGACGTAGACCTATGTCTCAATCATTCAGAAAGCTGCAAGAAATTACATTTGCGCTGAACTATTTCCCATTTCCAAGTAGATTATAACCGACATCTGTAGCTTGTCATTTCTTTTTTATTTCGGCCACAGTCCGAGGTTGTGAGGCTACAGCACTTACGGCGTCTGCAACCTTTTGCCACTCAAGTGCCTTTTTGGCATTAGTAATGCCCACACTGTGCCCTCCAAACAACATTTTTCTCCTCTTTTCCACCTCGCCAACGATAACTTCTACTTCACATTGAGTGAAGTTACGTTTTTTTGATTTCCTCTATGTTTGCCATGATTTCGCAATCGATGAATATTAACTTATGGGCGTTTCACGGACTATTTATGGGCAACTATGGGCGTGACATGAAGCCGCAAAAGCTGCGCTACATTTAGAATTGATTGTGATTTATTAAGGGAAAAATGCGTAGGATGTGCGTGCGCACGGTTTTATAAATCCGAATATTTCTGTGCGTACGCACGTCCTATGTTTCATCCGTACGCCACTTCTGACGCAAATCCTACGCAAAGTTTTATAAATGAGGCCCCTGGAGAGTAATGTAAGTGTATTTCGGAGAGAGGGAAGTCACACACATCTTCAACTCACCAATACGTATTATTCCCTACATCTAGACTATACATACATGCTAAAAGTAAAGTATGGCATCTCTGTGGCAACGTGCCTCCTGGAGCTGTATAATTGTGTGTAGGCCTATGTTTTCATGGATTTACTGTCCGAGTGTGGGTGGATCTGTGAGTATGTTTATGTTTGCTGTAAATTCATACCTGTTGCAGGAAATAAGCATGTCATATTTTGCACACAAACATATTTAAGTTACAAACATTTCAGTTCTTCAAAGTCTGGATTTGTAAATTGCGTCAGGATAAAGATGTACATCAACAGATTTGAAATGTACAAATATATATCTGTTATTTTAATTACTGGTTCCCTCTGCTTCTGTTAATTAGCACTAAAAGCCCTCCAGCAATTGATCTACTGTCACAAGAGCATAATAAGATCTTGTGGAAAAAATTAGCTTGTTTGGGCCAATTAAAAATGGTTAAATAGTACTTGAATACACCTTGTGGTGCAACCTGGACACATCGTCAGTGATACTCCCGGGGTCATAGGGTGTTTCGGGTCTTACATCAGACACCCTCACCCGGGCGACCCAGCCGGGGGTGATCAAGCCCCGACTTGTGTCCAGGTAGCGCTCTACGCCACGCGTCCCCCCTCCTTAACCAGAGCCACCGTGCTGCCTTCTCAGCGGCTTCCAGGATGTTCTTGATGGCTCTTTGCCTGTGCAGTCCGCAAATCCCTAAGAGTCCCAGGACCCGGTGTAGAGACTGGCCTGCGAAGCCCCTACAGCCCACTTCAACAGGCTCACAGCGGGCCTTCCACCCATTCCTCCGACACTCCGCTACCAGATCAGCGTACTTGGCCCTCTTTCTTTCCTGGGCTTCCTCCATTCTATCTTCCCAGGGGACCGTTAGTTCCAGTAACACCACCTGCTTACTTGCTGCGGACATCAAGACCATGTCCGGTCGTAGTGATGTAACTGCAATGGTGTCTGGGAACCTCAATTGAGTCCCCAGGTCCACCAGGAGGTGCCAGTCTCTTGCTGTTGCAAGGACGCCCCCTTGGGTCTTTCTAGGGGGCTGAGGCTTCTCTCCTGCTCGAACAAATGCAATTGCAGACTTGGTTGGATGATGCTGCTTGCTAATGTTAATGCCAGTGCTGATGGCGTCTGCTACTGCCTTCAGGATCTGGTCATGGCGCCAACGATAACGCCCATCTCCCAAGGCTTTTGAGCAGCAGCTGAGGATATGCTCTAATGATCCCCTTTTCTGGCAGAGTTGGCAAGCAGGTGAGTCCACCAGGCCCCAGGTGAACAGGTTAGCAGGGCTAGGAAGGACATCATACACTGACTGGACCAAGAACTTGAAATGGTGTGGTTCCGCCTTCCAGAGTTCTGCCCAAGTGATCTTGCGGCCAGCTGTTTGCTCCCACTTTGTCCAGGCCCCCTGCTTGGACATGCCCACCACTCTGCTGAAGCGAGCTTCCTCCACCTCGGCTCGTACCTCCTCCTGGATAAGCTTCCGCTTCTCCTTTCCTCTGGCTTTGCTGTAGCATGGCTTGGGATTGCTACCAAGCCCGGCCCGCCCAGTAGCCACCGTACCCACCAGGGTGCTATGCCGCAGCCTTGCCTCCGCCCGTTCCACTGCATCCTGGGCGCGCCACTTCCTTCCTGTTCTGACCTCTACCCCTGCTGAAGAGACCTTGGTGTCAACTGAGTCTCGGTAGAGCAGGACTTCTCTGGCTCGGGTGACCTTGAACTCCTCTGCCAGACTGCTAAAGGGAAGCTGTAGCTTGGTGTTATGGCCAAAGAAAGCAACGCTGCTTAGGCTCCGTGGCAGGCCCAGCCACCTGCGCAGAAATCGGCTGACCTTCCGCTCAAAGCCCTCCACGGTGGTAATTGGGACTTCGTATATCAGCAGTGGCCAGAGGAGACGAGGGAGGATGCCATGTTGATAGATCCAGGCCTTAAACCTACCAGGAAGCCCTGACTTATCCACTGCCGAGAGCCATGTGTCGAAGTCATCGCTGGTTCCCTTCCGTGCAGCGGTGTCCTTCAGGTTGTGAGTGAAGAGCTTGCCCAGGCTCTTCACTGGCTTTTCTGACACTGATGGAATTATGGTGTCTCCCAACATGAAGCGGAACTGATCAGCTACTTTTCCTTTCCTCAAGACCAAGGACCTGGATTTTGCGGGCTTGAAGCTCATTCTTGCCCAAGTGATGAGCTGTTCGAGGCCTCGCAGAAGCCACCTGCATCCGGGCACTGTGGTTGTGGTGACCGTGAGATCGTCCATGAATGCTCTAATCGGGGGTTGTCGGGTGCCAGATCTGGACAGTGGACCTCTACATTCCACTTCTGCAGACTTCACGAGCATATTCATGGCCAGTGCAAACAGAGTCACAGAGATTGTGCAGCCTGTAATGATGCCCTTCTCCAGACGATGCCACTCTGATATTGAAGTCCCAGAGGACACCCTAAGACTGAAGTTGTTATAATAGTCAAGGATGAGATTTCGAATCTTCTCTGGGACGTGGTATCTGCTCAGGGCCAATTCCACCAATCGATGTGGTATCGATCCATAAGCATTGGCAAGGTCCAGCCACAGCACTGCCAAGTCCCCTTTGC